GGCCCGCAGGGACCACCGCGGGGCCATGTTATACCGCCGCGTCTCCGGCGTGGCCTACGGGGGCCGCAGCGCCACCGCACCTTGCCGCGTCTTCGGCATGGCCTATGGGGGCCGCAACTCCGCCGCCACCCACCGCGTCTTCGGCGTGGCCTATGGGGGCCGCAACGCTGCCGCACCACGCCGTGGTTGCAGGGTGGCCCGCGGAAGTCGGGGGGCTTCCATACCTCGCCGCACCGCGCGGCCAGGGGCTGCGCCGGTTACCCCACATCGCGCCGTTTGTCACGAAAGTGGGCGACTGGTTGGCCTTCCAGGAACGGTTCGACGCGGCATATATGTCGGTCGGCTGGTCCATGGAGGAGGCATTGGGGGCCCTTCCGACCTACCTGGACGAGAAGGCGATGCAGGTCTTCAAGTCCATTCCCCCGGCCGATAAGGCTACGCTTCCGACAGTGTACCTCCGGATGGCCGATGTACTCGAGCCGCCGTCCAGGGCACGCCAGAAGTTTTCACTACGGCGGCTGGAGGAGGGGGAATCTCCATTGGTTTTCCGCTGCTCGCTCCTGGCCTTGGCACAGGCCACATACCGTGATATACAGGGCAGGGCACTGGACTCGATGGCCCTGGAATGGCTACTCGACCTGGCACGCGAGCTGGGGATCGCTTTATCCATAAATAGCGATCGCCAGATCACGTCATTGGCGGTGGCCGAAAACATCCAGGCGCACCTCTCCCTCCGCCAACAGCCCCGGATGGCGGCGTGCGCGGGGATCCCGGCGCCAGAAGAGGAGGCCGCCTCTCAGAGGGTGGACACCCTCGCGGACCTGGTGATGCCCGGTCGTCGCGGGAGGGGGGCGGGTGGTCGCTGTCCGGAGCAGCGGGGGCAGCCAGGACCTTCCCGCCAGCAGGACACTGCCACGGTGACCTGCTTCCGCTGTGGTCAGCAGGGCCACATTGAGCGGGGGTGTAGGAATGCCCCGGGGGCCTTCAGCAAGGGGGCTCCAACTCCTCCCGGACCTTCATCGAGCCCAGGGCCCCAGGCGAGTCGCGACGCATCACCTGCGCGGCCGCCCCCCTCACCTCATGCATCTAGCGGGGCTAGGGTTCATCATCAGATGGTTGTCCTCGAGGGGTCGGGTGCACCACCATTGTCACCCACTGGATGGCCCAGGCTGACCCGCCACTGGAACGCGCTGGTGCATCAGATGGTGGCGGCAGCTGCTGGCTCCTCAGCGTTGGCGGGTTGCGTGCAGGGGGTGCGAGTTCGCCTCTTGGTGGATACGGGGGCGTCTGCCACCATTATTTCAGAGGCCATTTTCAAGCTCCTACCCCGCAGCGTCGGTCCGTTAGGGCCGGTTCGTTGGGCTTGTGGCGCCGCGAACGGCAGCAGTTTGGGCATATTGGGCCAAGTTATAGCGTCGGTTCGGGTGGACGAGATTGAGTTGGCCGGGCCTATTTTGGTCTCCAAGACCTTGGCAGTTCCATGCCTCTTGGGGACCGACTTTTTGTCTAGAATGCCCATTCGAATTGTCGTTGACCAGGGCTGTGTGGAATTGCCGTCAGGGAGGCGGCTGCAATTCCTACAATCGCCTACCGTCCTGTCTCCCTTGGTTGCCAGTGTGCGGGCCTTGAATAGGGCGGCGGTGACCGTGCCGCCGGCATCACAAATCTTGCTACCCCTTAGGTTGTGCAGACCGCTCGAAGGGGGGCTCCACGGAGACAGGTATCCTCCTGTCCCCGTCGAGTTACTTTTCAAGGACGATGGGATTGGTGGGCACCTTGACGGCCGTGTCGGGGGGCCAGGACCTTTTTCTACAGGTCCTCAATTCGGGGCCCACGCCAATCGTAATCCCGGCCGGTGCCGTCCTGGCGCATGCGACCCCGGCTCCCCCACCCGAGAGCGCTACCCCAGATGGAGGAGTCGTGGCGGGCGTGATGCGTGCGAGGGACTCCGACGCATCGTGGATCGCAACGTTGTGCGATGAGAATGCCTCGTTGTCCACCGGGGAGCGTCGGCAACTCCGCGAACTCATCGAGAGGTTCACGGATGTGTTTAGCCAAAGTAAGTTTGATCTGGGTCGCACTACTCTTTTGGAACACCACATAGATACGGACAACTCAGCCACTACTCGGCTTAATTCCCACCACTTTAGCCCTGCGGAAAAGGAGCATGTCCGCTTGGCTGTCGACGAAATGTTGGCGGCGGATATCGTCTCCCCTTCTACTAACCCTGGGGTGCCCCTATTCTGCTAGTCAAGAAACGGGACGGGAGTCTCCGGTTCTGCGTTGATTTTCGTAAATTTAACAAGATCTCGGTGGCTGACGCATATCCATTGCCTCGCATGGATGATTCCCTGGACGCCCTCTCAGGCGCGCGGTTCTTTTCGACTCTAGATTTTCTCTCCGGCTTCTGGCAATTGCCGCTGGACGAAGTCTCTAGACCCAAGACAGCGTTCCCCACGCCCCAGGGGCTGTTCAAGTTCAATCGGCTTCCTATGGGTCTTCATTCGGCCCCAGCCACCTTCCAGCGTCTCATGGAGATGGTTTTGGCGAGGCTGCAGTGGGAGTCTAGTTTAATCTACTTTGACGACGTTATTGTTTTTGGGCGTACGATTGACGAGCACTTGCAACGCCTCGAGGCTGTGTTCGTCAAAGTGCGCACTGCGGGCTTGAAATTTAAACCCCAGAAATGCCATTTGCTACAACCATCGGTGAAATATTTGGGACACATTGTTAGTGCGTCAGGTGTCACCACGGACCCGGAGAAAACGGCTTGTGTCCGGACGTGGCCGACTCCCACATCTGTCACGGAGGTGCGTGCTCTCTCTGTTGAAGTGCGCAAACGCGCCCGTGCTGGTTCGCTGACAGCAGGTTTCCTCCACTGCTGTATGACTCACTTTTGTTGATACATCGCGACTCAGCGATCCCGCTACTCAGCGAGGCTCGGAGCCAGCCGCTCCATGCGACTGCTCGTCCTGTGGACGTCTTGACTCGCTGATCTGTCTTGACTCTTGACTTTTAACTTCACCGACTTTTGAAAATGCGGCTGACCGTCATATTCAAAGACAATTATCTCTGCGCAGTGGAAAAGGGGGGGCGGGGTCTGTGTGTGTGAGTTCGTGTGTGTGTACAGATGGATCCTGCGATAACAATCTGTTTGCCCTGGCGTGAAATTCCTCTCTCGCGCTCTTCGGGAGAGACAAAGGTGGTCGAGGTTGCTTGGGATATTGTTTAAACTCTTTCGTAAGTTTGCCCGTTTGCCTCATTCCTTCTCGAAAACCTTTGATGCAACTCTATTTTGTCTCCAAGCTTTGTTTTAACAGTCAAAGTATTAAAGGTGAAAATCATTTGATAGCGAATTAATTATTGGATAATAATTCACTGATGTATCTGGTGGCCTGGTCTTAATTGGAGTGAGCGCGAGGACCGTTAACTTTAGCTTATTCTTGTTATTGCATTTTAAATTTTTACCGTTTAAAAAAAATGGTTTAACCCGTGGGCGTCCTCATTTCTGGCTTGCGGAGGGCTTCCCTCTGCGTGACCTCCCTTAGGGCACAACAAACTCTTGTTCATCTGGAGATCTTCGCAGATAGCTGCTAACATCCTCGCCTCGAGAGTTTTATTATTTTTCTTTATTTATTAATGGCCTGTTTATGACCGACACCTGGTTTTGCGTGTGCCTGGCTTATGGGTTTTATTAATTATTATTTTTTTCGTTTGTTAAAAAATATGATATATATAACAGCAAATATTATTGTTAATATCAATTTTGGAAAAGGCTCATATACAACAAGATGCATCCTGTGGCTCAGTTATCATTAAAATCAGCATACATTGCAGTTTGATGTATTTAGTTCATCTTGGACCAAGGATACAAACAAATCGCGAGTGTTCATTTGGGGGCTTTAGTTTGGCTTTGTGCAAACCCAATAATTTCAGTTTAAAACATCAAAAAGGAAGACCAATCATGTTCATTAGGCAAAGAGGGAGTTTATATGGGTGCCATTAGGCATTTATTTTACAAATGTTAGTTCAGGACAATGTTATTTTGTACCATGATATTTCAGGCTATAGGTCAAGAAGTTGTGGTTCGTGTATTTTCTATTATTTACAGGTAGGACTTGACGGAAATCACCGATAAAAATAGAGTACTGGTTCATTCGTCATCATGTCAGTTATTATGCAAGATTGAGCAAGTCCAGGAGAAATGGTATTTTCAGGTTGTCCGTCCTTCAAACAGTGTGAGGGCGTTTAGGAGAAACTGTTCAGGTTTACTTTTCAGGAAGGGAGGCTATGTCCAGGGAGATGGGCAAATGATTTCCAGGCCGTATTTGATGCAGCGGCCTTCATAACAGCCGAGTTTCAGGCAGATGGTTTAACACAGTTCAGGCAGTTGTAGACATGAGACTCCTGGCTATCAGCATTTGTGGTGGCCATGCCCAAAGCGTTAACCATTGAGGAACCGAGTTGAGGCAGAGTTTCTCCAGCAATCACCCTAATGCAGCTAGAGACGACACGTCGCCACTGCATTAGCATATAGGTGTCTGAAGCACCAAGCCGCTCTTGCACAAGGCCACAAAGAATGTCTAGTCAAGCCTCCATAGCATGGTGGGGTGCTTGTCTTTTCCAGAGGAAAAGCACTTTTGACAATGTGGACAGATGCTTTGTAATGCCACAACCTAACCTTTACTTAAAGCTAGTTAAACTTGACAGCATACCTTTACCCCTTGCCCTACATTCTTCATGGACCTTTGATATAGTTCGTTAGGTGTGCGATGGAAATATCCCTGGAACATAAGGTCCACATTTGCATGTTTTAGGGGAAAAAGATTCATTAAGTAATAAAATACATCTGGATTCAGATTCATTAAGCATGGCAAGGTGCTTATGTTTGAAGGCAATGGCATAAACCTTGGTACAAGTTGCCACTATTGAGGGACTTGGCCAAATGCGGCACTAATTCTGCACACATACAATCCTTGTGAAAGGACAGAACAGCAGTAGCGAATTTCAGCATTTTATTTTATTAGACCACAATGGTCAGCAAGACATGCAAGTTCCAGCAAATCACAAATAGTCGTGATCAATAGCCACTCCCGTCAAGCGCCACAGCCCGGCTCCTGTGCCTCCTGACGGCAATGGCAGCAGACAGGAGAGCAACGACGGCTGTGGCAATGACGAGGAGAAAGGACAGAGTCCCAGCCGAGGCCCATGATGAGGAGGGAGTCTCCAGCAACAGCAGAGCTGCATCGTTAACATGAGCTTCTTCAAAGAGCACGGGGCCCTGCAGTGACACCACGTGCTTTCCTACCACGCTTGAAGCGTCAGAGACGGTGTTGCGCTCTGGAACAAAAACAGAAATTGGTTGATGACCACTGGCCCATACAAAAGGACGCTATATGCTTCAGGTCAAGTTCCTCAGAAACTCAAACGAGTAGGTCATTAATGGCATGCCACGGCTTGTCGAAAACGAGTCTGCAAAGTCACAGCTAATGTGATCTAAATAAGAACATAGCAACATTACCACAAGCAATGAAAACCCCTTTGTCATCTTGACAAAGGGTTACTCTGCGAGTCTTTGCTGGGTAAATAAGCGCAAGATATTTAATAGAGGTCGCGGTGGTACTCACTGTAGCGCCTGGTCTGCCCACACTGCCGATTGCACTCGGTGACAAAGTTGGGGCTGGAGCTGTCGCACACCACGATAGAGCAGTGTAGATAAACCTGTGGCAGACAGAATGCATCGCTCCAGTAAGTAAAGGTTCCCATGTTTTAGGTAGTCCTTCTGGCTGTCCAATTGTACAAAGAGTACACGTCATATTCTGGGTTTGTTCAGTAAAGTCACGTAGAAGGGAAATAATAAAAGAAAATAAAGTTACGTTTCGATTGCAACACAAGCAATTAGGTGTGAAATCAGTAACAATTTTGAAAAAAGCGTCAGTTTTAGACAAATTTTCTTGCTGTTGTTTTCACACACCGATTGCTTGTTGCAATCGAAACGCCGTGAGAATTTGTTTTATTTTTATTATTTCCCTTCTACGCGAATTTACTGAAAGAACGTAGAATGAATCCCTGCAGTTATGAAAAGCTTTAAAAAAAACGAAATTAAAAGTACACTTCATCCAGGGGTGGAGCCAGGGGTGACATTCTACGTATAAGTGTACGACACTCGGTCTGGCGTACTCCGTGCAACTGCATTGTCAGAGTGTGTCACCAACCGATGGCGTCTAGTTCAGCCGACTCTGATGATTCTTGAGACTATAATGTTGAATCTCAGCCCGGCCTGAAATCCTGGCTCCGCCCCTGACTTCATCCCTCCATGGGGACCTGGTTTCTAATGGATGGAAAGAATCGGGCACTCACGAGGTCACGGGTGGTGCTGCGGTCAGAGTTCATGAAGACGAAGGCCTGGAGCGCCAGGCGCTTGTAGTGAGAAGGCAGCGGCAGGTCAGCGACACCAGGGAAGGAGACACTGCAACAAGGAGACTGCACGGGGCAGCTGCACAGGAAACAGTGCCGTTAAACCCTCAATTCTAAGCAAGTGTCATGTATCGGATTGAATGCACGCATCTTTATTTAAAATCTGCACGCGAGGATGAAGGCCAGCTTTAAAGTCAGGACGTGCTCCG